GGAAAAAATGTACGGGAGCCGCAATAGCCGAGTGGATAGCTTTACCCCTTGGAAGGCAGATGTACAAATTCTGATTCGACCAAACACCAAAAATTATATAAATATAATTTTTCTAATTACGGTTGCCTTCGCGGCAGTCTATTGCTGACAAAAAATAAAATAAAAGCTCTTCAGAAAAAATCTATCGGTCGTCCGTTGCCGGCTAAGATCAAACCGTAGGTCCCTCCATTTCTTTGGGAAGGAGCTGGATCGAAAGCCGCTTCAGAAATTGCAAAGAACCAAGGTGGGACCTTGCACCATCTGACTACAGACTATTTATGTCCGTCGCTGAAAAACTCTTTTTAATGGAAAAAAAAGAAGTTAGCCGATCAAAGTGTTGCTGAAAAGCCACGTGAACGACAGACGCTTTACCCTGACAAAATTAAAGTCGAAGAGACGGAGAAAACCCAGACCACTTATTCCCCCCGCCTAAGTGGGCTCGCCTTTGAGCCCACCGATGAACGAACCAACCTACTCGGTGCGCAAGTTTTAAATAAATCATCGTACGAGTCTCGAGTCTAAAGTTGAGCAGCCAATAATAAGTAATATTGAAACTCACACAACGGATTAGCATAAAGTATATGTAACGTCATACTTACATACATGTGCATATAAAGGGTTTTCCAACAAGAGGTGCTAGTTTTAATAGTCTGCTATTCTGGTAGATGTCACTTTTGAAATTGTAATTTTTTAACATTTGACAAGTAAATACCATGACAGTAATGGAAATGAAACGATAAACGCTTTAACAAATCATTGAAATTATTAAAACTCACTCCAAAGATTTCTGAAACTGTATGGTGTGGTTTATGGGCCAGCGAAAGTGAATGGATTGCGCTATCGAGAGATAATTAAGGATTTTTTATGGATGGTATTGATCTGTACAACGTTAACTTTCAAGAAGACGGTGCAAGCAAACCATCGATATTGTAAGGGAAACGTTTCCGAACCGAGTTATTTCTCTAAGAGGTGATCGCAATGGTCCACCGAGATCTTGTGACCTTCCTTTGGGGCTACGTGAAATGTAAGATTTACGCCAAAAGGCCAACGCCGATTCAAGACCGCAAAGGTGGAATTAATGAATTTATTAAGGGCATATACCAGCCACTTTTGGATTTGGTGAAAGAAAATTTCCTAAAAAAAGTACGGTCTTGTTGGCGGAGTCATGGCGACCATTCAACTGAAATCGTCATCTGATCATTTATCTCAAAAAATTCTTTCTTTCTTTGAATATCAAAATAACATCACTTATTGAAACCCCCTATAAAAAGACCTTTAAAAAATATCTGAAAATATTGAGCTGTAAGTTGGGCGCGTGAATTGACTGCACACCGGATTCATTTACATGTATTAACGTTTCGAACATACATATGTATGTACATATGTACGTAATAGCTCGACCTGAAGCACTCTGTGCAACTACATAATTACATATTGTTCTACATTTGCCAATACAAATATCTGGGATCACCGTTAAAGCTATGGCCAATATTGATGGGCAGAAAAGCAGCGTATAAATCATTCAACTATACGAATCGCCGCGTACTTGAAGCGAAAAAAGGATAATGTGCAAGCGAAAGGCAAAAGGCGTACTTCGTTCTGCTTCCTTTATTTTCGGTATTCTCGTTTACTTCATTATGCAATTTTTTTTTGTGTTTGTTTGAAAACCAATTCAAGTTAACACGCACGGTTCAGTGCTATTCAATATCTCGTTGTTGTCTCGCACAATCGCCGCTATTCTTCTTCATCATCTTCTTGTTCTTCTTCTTCAGCCTGCTCATCCTTTTTGCTTATGGGAAGATATAATCTTTGATTTCCCGCTATCTTTATGGACCTACATTCATGTATGCATAACTTAAGTTGAATCTACATATATATGTACATACATTTATTTGTGCATGAATGAGCGTGTATGAATGTGTGTTTGTGTGTGTCGAAGTGTGTGAATGGTAAGCGGCGTCGAGTGATGTGCATTTAAGTGCGAGCGCCATGCCCTGGCTAGAATGACATAATAATTTCATATTCAGCTGCGTATACGAGTATGTATAATATATGTACGTATGTAAATGCACAAAAGGCACACATAAGCATATATCTACATCTGCTTAGATCTCAATAGGTCCACATTATCATCGTAATGCATAAACATATTTCAAGGCGCTCAAACAAGCAGTGCGAAACACACAAAGAAGAGGGAGCGGGGAGAATAGGAGAACAAGCAAGGAAATATTTTCATTGCACAAAAGACCAAACATTTTTTATTCTTTACAGACATGTTTGTGTGTGTTTGTTTGTTTGTGTAAGGCAATATGTTTATATTTTGGCCATTCGAGCGTGTGAACTGCAAATTTATAAATCTCTGTCCTAAGCTTAATGTGTATCTGCTCACATACATACACATATATTTAAGTTTGTATGGGTGTTTGAAAATTAAGCGCTTGAACTGCTTAGTCCTTTGAATAATGTATGTCCTGTCACATTTTTAGCAACTTTATTTTGGTACCTTCATATATGTACGCTTACACATGTACACATATGCAAAGAAAAGGCGAGTTATAGTCAACCACGAGAGGGGAGAGTACCTCCCGCAGAAGAGGCTGCAAACGTTCACAAACCAGCATAAAACCTCATGAGTGGAATCCAGTTACTTTTAATAGGTTGCATGATCGCGGAACCTGAGGCCTACTGGCCGGTGGTAGATCCCTCCAAGGCCAACGAAAAATAAATTTCCGAGAAAACAATAACGGATCGCACTGAGCAGCTGGGCAGTGTCAGAGGTAATGTTCCACCGATTCATCCTCATCCAAGCCCCTGCAGCTGCGGCTGAAGTCGTTTGAGAAGCAGCGTGTTTCTACCATGAGTTGCCCTCAAACAGTGTACGCCGGTTGTTATTTATGGATGTGCGGTTTAGAAGGATTTAGAGGTAGTAGAGACCTAGTTCTGTTTACCCAGATTAATTTTTAGCCAGTTCGTTGGCTTAGCAGTTCCCTGGATGACCCTATGGCTACGGACCCAAACAACGGACATTTCGCAAACAGTTGAGAGTTTGTTTGATTGCATTGGAGAGATTTAATAGCAGCCTGGTTGACAGAATATATTTTGCAAGAGGTTGGGCTATCGTAATAGAAACGAGCAACCATGAAGCGGCTTCCGCTTCCCAAGGTAATACATATCTCTATCGTCATTGACTAAGCTTGGGGGTAGGAGCGAGAGGATGCTTAGGAGGGTGATGTCAAATAATACTCTTAAATGTATTCATAGAGCTGTTTGGCTCTTAATGGAACTCGGGTGTGAACTCCATAGGAACAAAACTAAAAGTGGTGCGGGGTGACCACTTCTCTTTACACATTATGTATTTATTGCGTACAGCTCAGTGGGGAGCTACGGGCGAGAAATTCGGAGATGGGCGGCGCGCTAACAGAATGGTTAGCTTTGCGTACTGTCATTCGGAAGAATCGGCTTCAAATCCTGGTGTCGCACTAAAGTTATAGAAAGTTTCAAAGTACCAATTATATACCTCAAGTAACAGGAAGCGAAAACTAATGCCTAAAAGTATGTTAGGGAAAGTGGACTAAGGATGATGCAGATTTAGCATCGCTTCCAACCCCCATTGGAATTCGTTTTCAAATTCCCTCCATCTATCTTCTTGCAGCCAATAAGGAGGTAAGATTTGGCGGTCATTCCCGTAGTACGGCAATATAATATATATATGTAAATATATGTTCCCCTCTTCCATCCTGCACACTGTGTCTGCATCGTTGTATTGTATATCGCAAGAGCAGAAAATAAGGTACAAATCTGGTTGTATACTACACAAGGTTCTTACATGCAACCGCATAAAGTCTGAGAACTGTATGTACATTTGTAGATGCACACACAGGCTAATAGACTAAGAGAGGTACAAAAACTCTGGTAATCTTAATGTTATCCAGATGCCTAATCGACCACATTTTGTGGAGAAGGTTAAATATCTTAGATAGTAAGCTTAGTTGGAGTCAAAACACGGCGGAAGAAGCAAAAAGACCATTGGCAAGAGGTGAGGTATACCATTACGTTTTAAAAACTATTTCCGGGAAGCGACCGATGCTCGAATAAATATCAGAGGCACAATTTTCGACAAAGTCTCCTTCAATAAAGTGATTACCGCCACTGTTAATAACAAAACCAGAGCATATTTTGACGGACAATTATATGGACTCAACCCATTCCTGAGGGAAATATCATTCTGTTAAAGTGATGGTATTTTAATGAATAATTTTTCTATTATATTATCGTCGGTGATTAGCGAGACGTATATGAATACGCTACAGGGCTGATAGAACAAAGCCTTGATGATCATAATAGGAATTTTCCAACTATCACCTGAACACCATCCATGCTTCTAGCTAAGGTACATAAGGTTATGGCTTGCAAGCAATATCTGCATCTGTTGGAAACCGAACTACCCCCAGGCACATCACGAAGCAATTAATTGTATTTACGGACCGCCTTCGGCATTGCATTTATTACAGACTGGCGGACCGTAAACGCCATTGACAGAGTCTGTCTACAATTTCATTATTTACCTTCATATAATTGGCGCCAACGGCAGACGCAGCTTTTGAACTATCTCGCGAGAGCCGAATAATACAAACGCAAGTCTGGTTTAGGTAGTAAACTCTACTCTTACTGATAGACCCCAGTAATAAATCCCAGCACGACTAAAACCCACTCATGTAACAACCATATTCAGGTGGGAAGAAAGAATATAAATTCCAAGAATTTTTCAAATATAAAATAATAGATTATATCCCTTAAAGACATGCAAATCACGTTTTCAATAAAAAAAAAAAATAAAAAAAAAAATTAATTTTTAAGCGACTAAATTAAGTAATTTCCCAGACTTGTCAAAGCAAATCGATTATTTAATGATTGAACTAATTCATTGCCAAGTTGAAATTATGCAAAACACTTTCACTCACCTGTAAATCTGTCAATAGTTATAATTTGCTCATCCGAACTGCTCCAAACTGACGACAATGTTAACGGTGAATCGAAGCAAATGATGTCGCCCACTGAGAAAATCGTCTACTCCCGCGTACGTACGAAGAGAAGAAGGCAAAAGCAGTAAATGCCAAACGCACATACAACACCAAACAGTTGACAGCAGCATCAGCAGCAGCAACAGCAACAGCAACAGCAATAACAACAACAATATTCATGCAGGGAATTCCAATGCCCGAAGGTAACATCATCAACAACAGAATTAGCATTGGAAAATGCCAATCAGCAACAGCCGCAGCAACCGCATTGGTATCGGTATTATTTGACCGAATCACATTTTCCATGCAACGTTTATTGACGCATGTATGATATTGCCATGGGAGGGATGTAGTGAGTGAGGCGTTGTTTTTGTTTTCGACATTGACGTTGGCGTGGCAGGTGTTTTATGGTTTTGATGGCGATGGCATGATTATAACAAGGCACCGTTGGCATTGGCGTTTGTAATGCGGATAAAAAGAAAAGAAAGAAAAGTTTTATTAAACAATAAATAATAAAATCAAATATTAACTAATTATAAAAGTCATATGAGTGCAAAACTGTCGAAAAAATCAATATTTGAAGACATTTTTATGTTCATATTGTTGAGGTCGTAAAGAAGGGCTGGTCTGACAAGTTGGATCACAAGGAAGTAGTCACATTCTATTAAATCTTGAAGTATTAATGTTTCTGTAGTATTTAGGGAGCTTCTACTTTCTAGGGGGATTGTGGCCAGAGGTTCGCTCATTATGGTGAACAATAATTTTCGCCCTTCCGCATCGTATAAAAGAACTCCCTTCAAAATATGAAATTCTTAAAGCCGAAGCACTCACTCACTCACCTTAGTTGGGAACGTGTTCTTCGATTCCGCCACTGACAGTTTGATGTAATCCTCAGCATGTTTAACACCCGTCGTGTCCTTTAAGCTGATGGCGATCATGTTGTTTGTTTCACGCGGCAGATTTATCTATAAAAGTGAGAAAATGTAACTCAAATAAAAATAAACATGAAAGCCAAGCAACCACATGCATGCATAGATATACACGTAGAAATATGTATGTATATATTATCTAAGGAAGTCATATGGAGAAGTGCACAAACTTTAAACTCAAAAATGAAATAAAAACTAGTAACTATAAAATTTTAAATAAAAAGTATTGCAAATGCGTGAAAAGTTTACGAAAAAGTTAACAACACGAAAATATTGTGGCAAAAAAAACAAAAAAAAAATTAGAAAAAGAAATACCAGCATATGATGCCATGAATATACTCAGCTTGGTACACGTAAGATTGAGAGGACTTAAAAAAGAGAGAATAAAAAAAAATAAACAACGAAAAAGCTATAGAAATGCAGACTGCAACAAGCGTGGTCTAGCAGGGTCACATAATGCACTATACAAGCACACATACAAACTGCTGCCGCATACCAAGCTTTAGATGGCTTCAAACTTTGCAAATATTTCCACAGCAGGACAAAACGATGTGCACTTTTATTTCATCGTTTAACTTGATGCCGCTATCATATGAAGTATAAGCATATACACACACATACATACATCCATATATATACATATTTTGGTCCTAGCAACCCAATAAGATAAACTGAGTTAAAGGTTAGCATTTTGCAGGAAACTTTTCAAAATAAATTTAACATTATGAATGGAAAACGCAACAATTTTGTTGGAAATTAAATATTTTATATCAAACTGATGGGATGGATTGTCCTTTTTCGAAAAATTTATTACAGAAATTCGCAGTGGGCTACCAAGCGAGCAAGAAAATGCATATAAAATAAAGAATATATATAAACTACATATATATCAACTACAAGTGAACTATACAAAAGGCCAGAAGAAGGGGGAGTTGGGTGTTGCGCGCTTTGCGAATTTTTATTTAAATTTAAGTAAAGTCTTACACTCTTCAGCGGTACTCAAGCAGCGAGAGCAAACAAAATCAAATCGACAAAATTTAGTGACGGACGATAAGCTTAATGCTTAATATGCGTAAACACCATACGCTTCTCATGCAGCAAACGCTGTGTTAAAGACTAGAAGCGATTAATTTGACAGCGTCTTATTTTGTTATATAAGAAATAGCCAATTTTAAAGTGACGCTGTATAATGTTTAAAAGAGCAGCGTTTGCGAATCTTGATATAAGAAATAAAATAAAAAATTATAACAAAAGGAAATATAAATTAAAATAAAACATAAAAGAGAAATAAAAAAAAATAAAAAAATAAAAAAAAATAAATANAATAAAAAAAAAAAATAATTAAATAAAAGTAAAAAAATTATAATTAAATAAAAGTAAAAAAATAAAAATTAAATAAAAGTAAAAAAATAAAAATTAAATAAAAGTAAAAAAATAAAAATTAAATAAAAGTAAAAAAATAAAAATTAAATAGAAATAAAAAAAAATTATAATTAAATAAAAATAAAAATAATATTTTACTATTATTAAAATTAATAAAATTTTCAAAATTATAATTTAAAACAATAACAAAAAAATTTTAATAAAAATAAAAAAATAATTAAAAATTTAATATAAGTAAAGAAGTAAATAAATATAAATAAAAAATAAATTAATATAAATTAAAAAAATTTAATATACAAAAATATTCATAAATTAAAATATTTTAATATAAATAAAAAAAATTAATATTTATAAATAAAAAAATATAAAAAAGAATTAATATTTATAAATTAAAAATAATATTTTTGAATAAAAAAATTTAATATACATAAAAAAAATTAATAAAGTTAACAAAAGGAAAAAAATAAATAAAAAAAATATTAAAAATACTGGCTTCAGCCAGTCATTTAACTAAAATTTATGTTCTATTACGAACCGCTATTGTCAGATTATTGCCAATCTGTACATCCACCATATCCTTACGCGACAAATCATACTTCAAGCCATTAACATCCTCGATATTATGTGAAAATTCATTGCCCAAATTATCGTGTAGTGAGATTTTCAGCACGAAATTCATGCCGCGTGGAATTTTTCCCTCACTTTGTTTCAGCCGCGAAATGGGATAGGCCAGTGAAGCCAAAATATATTGTATATTTTTAACTTCAATACCAATGGGTAGTGTTTGTTCGAATGTTTTGGCCTACAAAAAGAAGAGGAAATATTTACATTCAAAGATAGCAAAACAGTAAACACTTACAATAATCAAATCACGACCAAGTGTATCCTGCGTGCGCACAACGCCGTCCGGGGAAACCTTAACAATGCCCGTACTATCGTTGTCCAATTTGTAGAGAACATCATCTGAGTTAGCTTTCAGTTGTATTGTGCTACGTGGCGCCACTAAAATCCAATCCATTTTAATATGTTTGGGCGTTTCAAGTTCCAATATTTTGAAAACTATAACAGAAGCATTTGATATTTCAAAAAGTTTTTGCAAAAAGTTTTACGAAAACGGCATTCAGACATTACTTACCAACAACTTCAACTGAGTTTGTGATTTTATGACCAGTTGATAATTCGACAGTGGCCTGAATCTTGGCCTTGCCAGGATTTAAAGCCTTAACACGCACCGATATTAAATCTGCGGCGCCATATTCAACACCTAAAAGAAACGACGCGAGAATATAGTTTTTGATTTAGCTTACTGAAGTAATATAATTATTCTTAAGTCTAAAATTTTGTGTGAGAATATTTTTTGTCAGTTCCGTATCTGTGCCTAAACGCTAGCTCTAACATTTAAGCTCATCAGAGAACGTTAATAATTTTCTGCGAATAATTTGTGAGCATAATTTGTAAAGCTCTACAATAATGCTGTATCAGTATATTCGCTTTACTCTGGAGCAACTCAACTGAGAAGCACGGAGGATACACATCTTTCTTTAAATAACCTCAGAGTTATTGGCATTTATATAGTATAAGTATTTATGAAATATGTTATTTGCATATACATTTAATAAGTATGCGTACCCTGTAAAATGACTCTATTAGTCTAACAACAATATCATCTTTATGACTATTAACATACCAGAATCCGCAAATACATTGTAAATGTCTACCACATCCGGTTGATTTGTTGTCCAAGTCACACGCATATTCTCCAACGTGCCCAACACCATGGGCGACAGGTCAGGCACACCTGCAATTATATACATTTTCATTTGCAGTGCTTATCTTCCGCATGTGCATACGGGCAGTACAAGAATACCAAAATGTATAAGTATGTGTACATACATATGCATTTAGATACTAACCCCATACAGCAGCTGGCATAACTGCACCGCTACGGATGCGCACTAACGGTGTCTTGACTTGTATATTCACAAATGGCACAACATGCACTTCCACTGTGTCAGCGGAGATGGCCACTTCTTTGCCATTTCCGGGATTTGTCATAACACATTTACCGGTGATTTTGGTTGCGCCCAGTTTATGTGCCGTAACAATAGCTGACTCCATTGCTGCAATTGGAATGATAAGGTTAGATTATGGAATGTAACAGGTGGTACAGTTACATACATATATATATATATATATATATATAAAAGTGTAGCAGGCAGGTGGTTAAGGTTATACAAACTTACAAATAAGTTTTTTGTCATGTACATAATAGACAATGTTTACATCCGGTTGTGGTCCACCATGATAGTAAATTTGTACGCTAGAACCGACTACCAAAGTGGAATTGCGTGGGTAGAGACGTAGAGGCGGAAATACCTGGAAAAGGAGTTGATAAAAATGGAAATCGCAATATATTATATACATATAGTTATATAAATACATACATAACGACATGAATGTAACAAAATGGAATAGCAGTAATTTGCAGTTACTTACGTACATAAATACATTCATATACACACTACGGTAGTTACCTGCACATTTACTGGTTCACTGCCAACCTTCAAGTCGTCACTTCCGGCCGTAAAAACAATTTTGGTCTCACCAAGGTTATTTCCGGTTATAATATATCTATGAGTGTACGGAAATGAATTCACTTTTATAGCTTATATATTTACACACAACTTACTTTATTTCGCCCTTCTCCAAATCGAGCTGATCGCCCAATGTTACACTCAGTATATCTGAATTGAAAATCTCTTCCGTTAATTCATACACATGTAAATTAAAAGGATCTATGTGCAGCAAATTGTCATTGGAATCGTAAAGCTTAACGATGGCCTCAATGGATTTTGTACGTTCAACGTGATCGGGTGATACGACACGGATGGAACCAATTGTTACGACAGAAATTGAAAGATGCGCTGGTTCGGTCATTAGACAGCGATCGATGACTTCAAGACGTGCCTGGAAATATTAGGGGAAGTTATATTATTTTTGATTAGTCTACATTATTTTGAATTGGTTCGAAAAAAACCAAAAAATACACAAAAAAAAATAATAATATTTGTAAATAAAATAATATAAATAAATAATAGTTGAAAACTTAATCAAGTAATACAAAACTATGAAAAAATAATTAAAATTAAACATTAAAAAAAATAGCCAAATATAAATATAAAATATAACAACGACAACAACAAGAACAGAAAATTTAATAAAACCTAAAATGAACTGGAATAATCGTAAATCAAATAAGCATAAATAAAATAAATATGACAAAATAAGCGAAACTAAGAAAATAGCCACAAACAAAATAAAATAAAAAAATGTAATTAATAGTAATGTAGTCAATTAAAAAATTTAATTTCATTATAACAAAATTTAATAAACAATTAAATATAATTATTTAAAGAGAAAATAGGATAACTTAAGTACATTAACTTATAACAAAATTAAATTAAAAAAGTTAATAACATAACATAATTAATATGAAGAGAATGAAAAAGAAAAAATAAAAAAAAAAATTTTAAATAAATTGAAATAAAAAAATAAAAAATAATTAAAATCAAAACAAATTAAATCAAAATAAAATATATTGCAATAAATTAAAACAATATGTAGTTAATTTAATAATAACGTAATTAATTAAGAAAATAAATTAAATTAAAATAAAATTAATTAAACAATCAAATTAAAATAATTAAAGTAAAAATAAGTAAAGTAAAGTACATTAAATGAAAATAAAATAGTACAAAGCAAAGTAATTTGAAATAAGTCAACATAAAACAAAAGGAAAAAATAATTAAAATTAAAATAAACAAAAATAAAATAAATAATTAGCATACAAAATAATTAAATAAAATGATACAATTAAAAAAATTAAGAAAAAATAAATTTAAACAAAACGAAGTCAAAAGAAATAAAATAAATTTTGTTAAAATGAAAAAATTTAATGAAGTTGAGTAAAATAAATAATAAAAAAGTAAAATATTGAAATTTACAAAATAAAAATTGAAAATAAAACTAAATAATATACAACAAAAAACAAAATTAAACTAGCTACATAATAAAAATAAGTTGATACAATGAAATAAAAGTAAATATTTTTTATTATACTAATCAAAATATTAATCAATAACAAAATTAAATAAAAAAAGAAGAAAAAAAAATAAAAACAATAAAATAATAAAAAAAAAGAAAAAACAATAAAATAATAAAAAAAAAAAAAAATAAAAAATTTAACAATAAAAATAAGTTAAACCATACTAAAATAAATAATTATAAAACATAAACTAAAAATTTAAATAAAAAAATAAAATAAATAAAGTTAATATTAAAATAAATTAAAACAACAAAGAAAGAATAATATGAAAATAAAAAATAAAAAAAATAAAAGAGTTAAAAAAGATAAAATAAAAAATTAAATTAAAATGTAAAAATAAAATCATTAAATAATTAAATTGAATTAAGAAAAATAAATATAAACAAACACAAAAAATGAATTTTAGAGAAAAAATAAAATTATATAAAAAATATAATATTATACAATACAATAAAAAGAATTAAGTATAATACAATAACACTTAATAAAATAGTAAAATAAAAAGGAAGATTGAATTTAAGTTACTTAAATTAAATTTAAATCAATTCATTTAACTAAATTAAATTAAATTAAATTTAATTAAATAAAACAGAGAAAAATAAATAATTATTAACTTTAGAAATTTGACAATACTAACATGTCCAACACGCAAAGGTGTGACTATCAACTCTCGCTCTTTAGCATCATACTCCACGCTTACGACATTCTGGTCATACAATTCAAAATCATAAAATCCACTGCCCTGTGTAATTGGTATGCGTTCACGATGATTTTTGGCCATAAATATACTGACATGGTCGCTAGGGAAAAGTGTGCTGTTCACGGCCATAAAGCGTATTTCGTTTTCAATTACAGGCGTATGTAGTTCACCAGTTTTGGACTAAAAATAAATTAATATAAATAAATCTTTTATTATTACTAGCATTGACATAAATGACAATATCGTTGAAGCTTACATTCTGCACCGCAAAATTAGGCTCTTCCGGATAGATATTATGTTTCTTCAACACCGTCGCATCATAGCGTGTAACCACACCCTTAATACGGAAATTCTGTGCCACATTCGATATGGTCGTTATTAGCACATCACGTGCCGGCAAACGTACGCCCTCGAAAAGATCCTCCTCTGTACGACGATAATGCATTATAGCATCATTTTGATAACGCTCGTCGCCAGCAGCGAATTCCCAATCAATGAATAGCGATGTAATGTTCATTAATTTACGATTTTTCGAGTCTTGTACCTCAATTTCAATTTCAAACTTATCATCACGTTCTTTTATGTGTAACAGTGATTTTTTTATCTCCATAGGACAGGATGTACGTAATTGTTCAGTAGCATATAAATTGAGAAAACGCGGTTTAACGCAGTGCACCGTAGTGACAACGTTGGAAATGTATGGCTGGAAAATTGAACTAGCCAGGGCATTGTGTATATTGAAATTGAAGCTAGTTTTGCCAACTTTTTTACACATAACATTAAATACATGCATCGGTTCTTGTGTTTCATATTCCATTTCGACTATTTTAGCGATTTCTTTATCATATTCAACAGATTTGGTTAATTCACTTTCTAATGTAAACATCTTTTGCGGACCATTGCCGTAGATTATGTTACGGGATGCACCAATCGGCAAAACGACCTCATTTGCGCTGGGATTTATAACAACTAATGGTTCGAAGACGCTTAAAGTCACCTCATCCTTGAGCAATCTATCTTGGAATCTGTATGATATGCGTAAGTTCGTCAGACCGATAGCAGTACTACGCAAGTGTACAACTTGACAAGCATTATTAAGCATTTGTGTGGTCTGTTCATTATAATCCACTTGGAAGATTTGATTGGAAAACTCATATTCGAAAATTATATTTTCACAGCGGGTATATGGCAAAAGAGTTTGATTTATAAATCCATACATTGCGACTTGTAAGCGCACATAATCCTTTAGAGCTGTTTCAAAGTTGTAATTCAAAATTTCCAATTTAATAGGTGGTACGAAATACACTTCAGCTTGGCGTGTGATTTTTGGATTTTTAGCTAGTGCTACTCTCACGCTGGCATGAGCAGTAAGTAAAGAGCCTTCTTCCAAAACATCCGCTTGCGAACGTTTGCTTTCGGAGTGGCGTATGACTGTAGTAGCAAGACCAGTCTGTGAAATATGCAGCGTGCGTTGATTTTGCGAATGCCAAGTGTAAGAACCATCGCCACCACGTGCATGGAATTGAATTTTTTGGGTTTTCGAGACATTTGGATCAAAAGGAAGAATGACTTTACTGGGTGAGAGGAGTAGTTCACTAAATATGTGCAGATCTGCTTGAACAGTTAGCTGTAGAGAAAATAAATAGTCAAAATATATGGCGTCTCTTTGAAATATTAAATCACATATTAGTCATTACCCCTTGAAAAGAACCATAAACTGGTGAAACGCCCTGACGAATAGCTTCGCCATATGTGCGACTACCGTTTTTATTTTTATTTATTATGTAGAAGAGCACTTCATCGAATTCAGTGTGCATCTTGAAATATGAGCCCAGTGTAATCTTTTTATCATCGCTAAAAGAAAAACAGTAGAAATGATAGAATTAAACCAAGTGGTCAATTTGTGTTATTTCAAGTAGCTTACCGTGTGTACAAGTCCAACGCTATTTCATGTTTCTCTCCCTCTACTGTAATCCAGTTATCATGCGGTAATAGAGTGATTGTTAAACGCACTGCTTCAGCGATTGTCACACGTGCACTAGGCGTTGAAGCTTTTACGATTGTGCTATCTAGATGACTATTTTCCTCATCAATTGGCGCGTTACGATCGCGCAAGACCACTGTGGTTGTACCAAATTTCAAAGCGGTAAGACTATTACCTCTAATTGAAGCGACATTATCATTTTCAATTTCCAAGAAATACTGATCGTTCAAGGAAATTTCTTGAAGTTTACCCATTTTTAGTTGCAGTATGCGGAAATCTATTTTATCACCAGGGAGCATATGTACATCGGATGGCTCGAGTATAATGTTTGCTAATACATTGATGTAAACTTCCATTTTCGGTACATGACTGTACTCAGGGTAGGGTATGCTTATGGTAACCTAGTGAATTTATGTTAGAAATTATAATGTATTTTAATTAAGGAATAACTTTACTATTATACCTTAGCAATCCCTGTATTAATGCCTTCCAATAATACCATGTAACCTTTCATACGTTGTGTCTCAAACTTCTCCAATGCCGGTGGTACTACGTGGTAAGGACTCTCACTAAAAGTCAGAAACCTTAAAGCTGGCGCAAAATTTTTGCTACCACTACGACTGCTTAGTGAAGAAATTACCCAACTGAATTCAATGCCTTCCAGAGTTGTAAACTCATTGCCTTGCGAATCCTCTGCGCGCAGTTCAAACGTTTCTGGCGCTTCTTCGAGGAACAATTGTCGCGTTGTAGTTCGCACCCCCAATTTGTCGATGACATCCAGAATAACATCACAACGTAAAGATTCGCCAGTGTTGACATCTTCAGCCAACACAATAGCTGCATTATGGCGGCGTTCGCGTGTTAACACTGTGACCGTTGCACGATATGAACATTCGCTTTCTATATCTTCATAAAGTGGAGTAATAAGTATCAAATCTTGGCGCGATGATGACCTGAGAATATTAAAAATATAATATTAGATTTTGCTTATTAGCGTGGAGCAGCTGTTCACTATTGAGGTTAGAGATGGCGCGTTGTTGTTAAGGAGTTGAAAAGATATGTCAACAGCAACTTACCACTTGAAACATCCTTTTTCAATCACTTCCAATGTAAAGTTCACTGATACTTTACTAAATATTGGTAGAAGCACACGAGGATAATTCAATTTTATAGAGGCTGCAGTAGCGCTCAAAGCCAACATGGCAAACAGTACCCAAAAGACTTTACACGCCATTTGAGCACTTTATAAAGAATCTCAAAAGATTTAATATATATATTTTTATGTTTCTATTGATTTGGTATTTTATTAAAATTAAACGAAAACAGAAATTTCAATTGTTTACAAAACCGCGAGGTAATTTGCAGGAAATGCTAAATTTGTATTTAGCATATTTTACCGCTCAAAAAAGTAAAATGAAAATAAACCGGCACAGGGTTGCATGAAATCGATTACCCAATTGGAATTTTTTGCTCCATTTTGGCATTTCTCGCGAACTAAAAATAATTATAGTCAATGGCAACAGATAATCGAACATATCGGCGCATATATTCACTAAATTCGATCCCTGTAACACTTTTTATAAAGCATGGAATGAAGAGCAAAAAAGCGGAAGGGAGATATTTGACAAACTAATATATTAACAACGAATCTATTTTATTAAGAAGGGAAAAAAGTGTGAAACAATTTAAAAAATTATATTGAAGTTATTAGAGGCATTTCACAGCCAGAGTTCACACACCTTCAAATTTCTAGCGATTCTCGAAGTACAGCAAGGAAATTATGACGGCGAAACTAATTTTCGTACCAAAACCAAAATGAACCGATTGAATTGCGAAAAATTGTATGAATATGCCTGAAAACCGACAGGAAATGTACGCATACATAAAATTTTAAAGCAACCAAAGATATTTACACTTGACATAATTTACGTTCTTTGGTGAAACGTTGATGCTGTTATTATATGAATCGGCTCTCTGTTTTTCAAAGTGTAGGGACATCAGCTGATTTTCGATATGTTATCGATTTATCGTCGCTGCTTTTAATGTATGCGACATATGTTGTTATTTCAGCAGCCGAAGTAAAAAACTGTGAAGACTATACGATTTAATAGTGTTTTCTAATTATAAATTAAAAAAAAAATTGTTGAAGATGACTGATAGCGAGTCTGAAGCCAATGGAAAACACAGTGGAATAAATTTTCATTTAAAGAAGCAAAGCGACATTGAGATACTAGAGCGTGAGGAATTGTGTGCGTACATATCCCTATTGCATGAGTTGCTAATCAAAAAAGATAGAAAATTTAAAAAATACAAAGAGAAATACAAAGCAATTGTACGTATCTGTAACTTTGAAATATCAACCAATTGGTAATAAAATCATTTTGTTTAAAGGTTAAAGATTTGGAAGACGCAAAAGCAAAAGCAAAATTTGACGCGGATAACACCACAAACCTTGAGACAGATGTCGAACCTGCAAATGTAGAAAAACAAGAAACAGACGGTATGGTTGTTATAATTTTTTATTAAGCTAAAATGTTAAATTAAACATCGTTCGCGTATATTAGTTTTTACTAGCTACCGCTGCAACCAACGCTGCACCGCGACCGGAACCATCTTCCGAAAGCATTAAATCAAATGTTATTTTCGGATTCACCAATTTCCGCATTGTTTCGCGCATATAAGCATCGAAATGTGGATGAAGCCGATAAACGGAACCATCTACACCTACCACAACATGCGGTTCTGCTATTCTATTTATTAAACTGCTTATGCCCACAGCAACCAAATTAGCTGCACGCCTAGAAATGCACTCGCAAATATATCGGAGTTTTTGGCAATCTTCTACAGAAGCTTTTTCCATTGCAAATAATTCTTTTAGAATTGTGCGAGTTTGTTGGAAATCCGGAAAGTTGTCGTTTTCAATTTCCGAAATGAATCGTGCCTCGAAACAGCATACATTTTCCCTTAAAGTATTAATTAAACATTGCTTATCACTTGTGCGTGAAAATATTAAATTTTGGGTTATAGCATCGGCCAGCACCAAACGCACTAGTTCGCCCAAGTACATGCCTGAAAAAAAATGTTGCAAATTTTAATAATTGTATTTAATTTCATTGAAATCAAGAACATGATTTGAAAAATCTTTTTCACACACACGCTCACCTGATATCATTTTCTCTAACAGCTGACTGCCCACATTTAGCGACGCCTTATCAATGGTACGATCATAATCTGTGCGCACAAATTCCAACTTTCCGCTTTCGCCAAATGCACCCCATTCTGTATTCACAATTATATGCGTCTTATCAACTTTGTATTCCGATTCCAACAGCTCAGCATTTTCCACGCGCTCAACATAACAGGCATTACAACCCGTGCCGACAATAACACCAATACGACATTCCGGATTGCGATGTGCGCAAGACATTAGTGTACCTGTAGTGTCATTTAATATAGCCATCACATTGATCTCCAAATCACCACGTCGAGCTATGGCTTCTTTCAGCAAACGTCCCACATCTTCCTGCACGGAGCCCGCACAATTAAAGCCCTTAGTCCAACGCACCAACAATGCTTTTGTCAGTCCCAATTGTACGCAGGGAAATGAAAATGTAAAACCCAACGGTAAATGTTGGTTATTTAACGAATATTCTTTTACAAATTCAGCCAAACAATTTGCTATGTGATCAAAGAGCTGTGTACCGTGTCCAGTCATAAGTTCCTTATCCACCACAAACACTTTAGATTCAATTTCCGCCTCGTGATGGCCCTTAAGTGAAACGTGTAAAACACGAAAATTTGTGCCACCCAAATCTAGCGCCAAATAATTACCCTTCTCATCACCAGTTGGCAAATCTTGTATATAAGTCATGTAACACTTTATATCCGCCTGTTTACGTGTCGCCAGGCTTAGGCCGTTTTGAATTTCAGTTGTGAAACGTTTGTACACTTCATGTAATTGAGAGTCACTGATGATGAACTCTTTGAGAAAATCCTTCAAGCGTTGGTCCTGCATTTTAACAATTTTTTATATAAATTTAAATTAATTTCTTATATGTTTGTGTGCGTGTGCTATTGATTTTAACGTAATTGAGCTATGTTCAGCTGCCAACTTGTAAGTTTGGCGATCGCAAATATTCTGAATGGTTGCTCAAATGTCTGAAACTGCTTTCATTACGTTTTTAAATGTGTATATATGTAGGTATGTATGTGTGTTAGTATTTATTATTATAAAAAAGAACATTTTTAAGACTTTACTCAAATCTACTTGATAAGAAATCAACTTATTACATGCAAGTTTTAGAAAATCTGTTTTCTAAGGCACAGTGGTATTTTACGCCTCGTAATAGAATGTTTGTGAAGAAGCTCTACTCGAGAGAAAGTTGTTCGCTAGGCATACTCGTACGATTGTAGTTTCTAAAAGTATTATTCAAAACATTTTAGGATATTTTGTGCGAGAGTTGTGAATGGTATTATTAAATTTAGCGCTTTCTTGAATTCTATCTGCTTTTGGAATAGCATTTAAAAAATACACGCTGTATTATATTACTATGGTGCAGTGGAAAGATATAAGAGATATGTATGTTTTGAACATGAAATATCCTCTCGTTTGCAGATAATTATCGAGAAATAGTGACGGGCGTAACATTCTAAATTGCTCATTCATTTTATCTTACAGAAAACTTGAAAACTTGATTTGTATTCCCTTAATACTTGTGACATTTATTTTTTGTTGCATATTTTTAGGCAAAGTAGCCTTTTTTATTGCAAAAGAATTTCTAATTAGATTTAGAATCCTCCAATTTACAGCAAAGCCTATTCATTTAGAAGAAAAAACACTTTCAATGTTTTTGAAATACTTCTGTACACACACTTTTCGTCCGCCTTTTACCCACTGTAAAATTTCCCATATAATTTATACATATGTTTGCAATTTCTCACTGTATTAAACATGTTTAGTTTAGGTGTAACATTACACGCCAATGTACACACATACATATGCACATATCAACTTAATTGCTAACATATACATATATGCTTGTATATGTACATACGTACTTGCCCTCTCACACTGAATAATTAAGTTTCTGAAATTTTTGATTAAAAAATTATTAAAATTACATTATATGTATATACGTAATTGAAAAGCATCCTATGTGTATTGAAGTAAAATAAATAACAAAAAAAAAAATAGTTTTCATAAAAAGCAAAAAATTGCTGATAAGGAGCGCCAAAGCAAATACATCGCATGTCGCTTTAATCTCCGGTATTGTCGTCTCTGTTACATATGTTTTACCCCCTTTTTTTTGAATGTAAACAATTAAATGCAGTGGCAAATACTGGAAGTAAATTTCATCCCCTGGGTATTAAATATTACCTACAACTAAGGCATGACACTTGTCAAGCGAATTAGTAGATTTTATTGTGGCTCTTTTTTGAATCGCCAATGCTACACATTTTGCAAAGCTGTATAAATTGGTAAACTTTACAAGTTTACATTGGCCATAATAAAGATAGTGCAGTTTGTAGTAGATAGCGCTGCACATACATATGTACATACATAGATTTTTTTGGTTAGAATGTGTAGTTGTGCAGTTGCAATTGGCATAACAGTACTTACATACATATGACTATGCCACTACTATTCTTCAATAATTTATAGCATTAATTATTTACCTTTTAATTTTGTTTACAATTGTATTAGATAATGCGACCACTACGGTTGACAGTTTCGTGGATGATATTCGTCGTGCTGCCGAACAGGCGCAAAATTTGAATGGTTTCGTCTATGAGCCCACATCGGGGTTGTATTATGATCAAAAGACGGGCTACTATTATAATGCGGTAATTTTTAAGGGTTCACAATATTATTTATTTATTTTTTTATTTTTTTGCATTGTCTTTTATTAATTTATTCTTTCTATTTTAAATTTTGATGACTTCCAATTTTTTGTTTGTTTATTTATTTTTTATTTTTTGCTTTACCTTGTACTAATTAATCTTTTCGATTTTAAATTTTAATGATTTTTAATTTTTTTATTTATTTATTTTTATTTTTTTGCATTGCCTTTTACTAATTTATTCTTTTTTTTTAATTTTGATGACTTTCAATTTTTTGTTTGTTTATTTATTTTTATATTTTTTGCTTTAACTTTTACTAATTAATCTTTTCTATTTTAAATTTTAATGATTTTTAATTTTTTTTATTTATTTATTTTTTTTTTTGTTTTAATTATTTTTGCTCTATCTTTTGTTACTTATTTTTTTTTTTTGCTCTACCTATTACTAATTTATTATTTCTATTTTAAATTTTAATGATCTTTAATTTTTTAATTTTTTTTGTTTTGATCACCTTTTACTAAGTTATTCTTTCAATTTTAAATTTTGTTGGTTCCAATATTTTTTATTTATTTATTTTTAATTTTTTGCTGTACCTTTTACTAAGTTATTATCTCTTTTTAAATTTTAATGATGTTTAATTTTTTTATTTATTTTTTTTTTTTTTGTTTTTATTTTTATTTTGCTCTACCTGTTATTTATTAATTTTTTTGTTGCTTTACCTTTTACTAATTTATTCTTTCTATTTTAAATTTTAATGGTTTTTAATATTTTTATTTATTTATTTTTTTTATGCTCTTCCTTTTGTTTATTTATTTTTATTTTTTTGCTTTACCTTTTACTAATTTATTCTTTCTATTTTAAATTGTAAATTAATTAACTTAATTATTTTTTTTCTTTCTTTAGGAGTATGGTCTCTATTATGATGGCAACAGCGGCTGTTATTATAACTACAATCAAGAGAAAAATGAGTTTGAATTTCATTCGCAAGTTCAAACACAGCAAACTCCGAAAACTGCAGAGGTGAGTTGTTGATTGTACTTAGAAATATATGTTTTATATTATTATTTTTTTTTATTAATATTATTTATTATTTTTTATTATTATTATTTATTATGATATTTGTTTTTTATATTGAGAAAAGCTTATATGGGTTGGGTAGTTGACATGGTTGCAGAGTGCTTTATAAAGTTAATTACAAAAAAAAATGTGTTTATAAATATAGTAACGTTATATACATACATATTATATACCCATAATAACTTCTACAGCCGATGGATTGTATGTTGTTGTTGAAAATTATAAGATTTGATCCAAAATCTTCTTCATGTTTACCTTTTTCACTCCGATTTTTCTTCTCTCCCATTATTCATACATTTAATCTATTTCAAAAGTATTAAATAAATCAAAAATAAATTGAAAATGAATTCCCAATGAAATGATCGTTAAATAAAAATGGTTTATAATGACGCACTCATACTCATATCGTATAAACGATTTGTTTTCGACGAATGTTGCATACATTTCGGCTGACTATTCTTATATTCATATACTCTGGTCTTATTCTTCTAATTTACCGTTTACACTATGGACAACATGACTTTGTTAATGCTCATCGTTCTATCATCTCGGTAAACGCCGTATGGTAAAGGACCATACTTTCCAATTGCCTACTCAGTCCAAAGTAGCACCTGTTGACAAGAGTGACATTTTTTCTGCTAGTCCTTAGATAGATGAAATGATTTACGTCCTCGAAGTTATGACTATCAACAGTGACGTGCGGTCCAGCCGGGTGTGCGCCGACTGTTTTTTCCATAACAGGAGAAATTTCGTCTTGCCCTCATTTATTACCAGACTAATTCGCTTTCCTTCCTTATTCAATCTAGGGAAAGCAGAACTAACGGTGCCGTTGTTGAAGACAATTATATAATATGAGCGGCGTTTGCACACTCTTTTAGAAGAATGCCTTTCTCTGTTTAGCTCTGCAGCTCGTATTACTTTCTACAGAAGTAAGTTAAAGAAGTCGCACGTTAAGGATTCACCTTGTTTGAAACCCCGTTTGGTAATAATATAAGTTTTACCGGAATTTTTCATTCCGCGTTTTGTATATTTTTTTGGAAGTTGGTTCTCATCCATATATAAAACCTTTTTTGTTTATACCATAAAGTCAACTGCTCGCCCATTAACTGCTTGATAAAAAATGGAGAGGTTTAAGAAGAGATTATATTTAAAAAAAAAAAACACGTATTTCTCTACATCTGTACATATATTTGTTTTGCATGATTTCTTCTCTAACTCTCTCTTTTGCAGAGCCACAAAGCCAGCGACAAAGATGCTCTAACGAATTATGTAAATAATTCACTTTTAAATCGTTTTTCAAACCTTAACATAAACCGAATGCGTAAAAATGCATTAGGTAAGCTTGGTAACGTGAAATGTCGATGAAAACGCGGATTTCTTTTCTACTGTTACAGGCTGATATCGATGCGGACGAGTTGGTGGCGTTCGATGAGTTTGGCGGTGTCATAACTGATGAAGAGCGTTTGCGTAAAATCAAAGAGGAACGACGACAAGATGAAGAGGCAGAGCGCACTTGGCGTAAGAAGAAGAAAAACACAAGGTCAAAGATGACAAAGAACGATGAAAAGCATGAGAAGAGCATTAAATCAAAGAAGCGAAAGCATAAATCGAAAAAGCGTAAAAGAACATGTGAACGTAAATCTAAGCATTCTTCCAGCGCTTGCTCTGAGAGCGACATTGAGAGTATGGATACTCAGAAGTCAAAGAAGCGTGTACGTAAACTGTCTTGTGACTTTGAGGATGGCGAGTTATCTGATTCAAGCAGCAGTGAAAGTGAGAGCGCTAGCGAGGATAGCAGCAGGAATAGTGACGACAATAGTGCTGGCAAAGATGGAAAGAAAGTTGAAACGTTTTCCGGTGGTGGACGCTTTCAAGGTTTGTTCGTTGCATTTGTTTTTATTCTTTGATTAAGACTTGAAAAGAAATTCGCGTTGAGATCATACTTAAATGTCATAACTTTAAATAATTATATATATTTGCTTTAGTTGTTATAACTGTATTTCTGCATTTTAGATATAGCCAAAAAATACCCGCCTTCCCTACGCGTCATAGTACAAGAAAGCAACTTAGAAAGTCTAAAGGTTGGTAGCCTCAGCTTAATCACTTACAAAGGTGGCAGTTTAGGACGTGAAGGCAAACATGACGTCATTATACCGGATGTGAATGTATCAAAAGTTAGTCCACTGGCAATAAAACAAAAACCAACTTATGTAATAAAATTATTTTACCTTTACAGCTACACATGAAATTCTATTACGACCACAAGAAATCTATTTATAAGTGCATAGACTTGGGTTCTCGCAATGGCACTGTTTTGAATGGCACTCGCATGTCAGCTTCCAAACAAGAGAGTTCCGAGTGTGATTTAGTACATGGCAGTGTATTGCAAATCGGTCAAACAAAATTATTATGTCACGTACACGAAGGCAATAGCACATGCGGTTTATGTGAGCCGGGATTATTAATTGAAGCATCACGTGAAAACAGTGCATCCATGGGTACTACAACTGTGCTCACACATCGTGAACAATTAAAGAAGTTGCAGAAAAAGTATGGCTTGGAGAAAGAGAGTGCGTGATGAAAAGCTCAAAAAATTTGAAAAATACTTACGTTTTTTATTATTCATACATTTTTAGAATTTGTAGAGGCAAAACAAAGTACTAGCAGTTATAATGATCGCGCAGCAACTCGACGCACACAAGTCGGCAGTTCAACAGATGGCGAAAAGACACAGACAGCATCCGTTAATACGTTAGTATCAATTACTGTCAATAGCGATTCTCTTATTTACTCATAATATTCTTTTTCCACTTATCTAGAGAAATATCTGCCGAAAATAAAGGATTTAAAATGCTCTCCAAACTTGGCTGGAATAAGGGTGAGGCACTGGGTAAAGTCAATGATGGTTCAGGCCTTTTGGAACCGGTATGTTTTATCTGCACTTTAATAAGCATTACTACTATCGCAAACCTTTTACTATTTTATTCCTTTAGATTAATGTATCATCAAATGAAGGTAAAAAAGGTTTGGGTTGTGAAGGCGGCAATTCTACAGGTGTTACGCTTACTAGCGCTGATAAGCGTAAAATTGCGACTTGGCAGAAAACACAGGCGCGTTATCAGCAGACAGACATTTTTGGTGAAAGCGATGATAGCTCTTAATATGTTAAATTATTGTAGGTTATGTCTTGATATTTAAATATTCTAATAAAAAATAAAATAAAATAAAAAAAAGCTTAAATACTCGATATATAGCTTACAACATTGTTTTCATTTTTCCCTTAAAGCAAATTATTTATTATTATTTTATCCAAAGTCAATATTTGTAAACACGATAAACAATTCAGCAGTGGAATACTTATAATAGCTTTAGGTAACAAACGAGCATCCTTTGATTTACATATCTAAAAACAGCTTTAAGTATTGCTATGGTCAGGAATAAAACTTGAACTGCAGGTGCTATAAACACACTGTTCTCGATTATTGATATCATACAATAATTCTGTAGTCAAAATCAATTGAATGTTTTTGTTTTGATTGTTTCCTGGTACTGGCTCTAGTGACTTACTGTGTAATATTTTTTGTTTTTAATTCCATCGTCAATGGTATCGTCAGACGACGCTGTTGCGGTCTGCTCCTCAGCGTTTTCGCCATCACTTTCCGTCGTTTCTTATCGTCAGTCATTTTACTGACCATCATTCAAGGTAACAACGTAACAGACGATATAGAAACTAAAGCGGCTAACGACAAGCGCTTATTCAACTCTCACGACAGCCGGTTCTACGCACCGGAGTTGACCCGGATTTTATCCGGCCAAGGGCTTTCACCCTTTCGGAGATCTAACCCCGTTTAGGTCTACAGGTAACAAGCGCTTATTTAAAGATTTTTGTGGCAGAATTGGAAAATAAGTCAAATTTAGGGGTCTCCAAAGAGGCATTATCTAAAACAATTTAAAAGACGAGTTATTGCCATAAAAATAAATGCAGTAGGACCATCTGTGTGGGATGGCGGAAAAAAATTCAAAATTTTCAAAATTAAAATCTAGAAAAAATGATGGACCACAATAAAGAGTCAAAAGCGGAGGGCTTACAAGCAGATGGTATTGTCTCCTCTTGAAGAATCTGTTGCAAATATATACAAATGTATGAGGTGTTAATGATGAAATGATTTTTGCTTTTAGTTGATTCGTTTTAAAGTTATCGATTCACCCAACAACAAAACTTTTTTGGAGAAACCTGACCTTAAGCTCTAGATATTTTTGAACTCACGGCTTCTTGTATTTGCTAAAGATTTAAGTTAATTTAATTTTTTTTATTCTGTTACACCTTTCTATTCGCTTTAGAACAGTTTACTACTTTTTATATTTAAAATAAAAAGTAAGTTATCGTTTTTCAATTCTTTATTTAAATTTCTTTAATATTCGCACATAGAGAGATGGGTTAGTTAATTATTAATAATATGTTGTATATTTATTTATGTATTTATATGTATAATATTTCTTTTTTCGTTTCATATTTTATTTAATAATAATTTAATTTACAACTTTCAACAATCAATTAAATTTCATGCTAATATTTTTTAATGTTTCGGTTAATCTATCAGTCAGATAATTAAATTTTAATTGTAAATAAATACAATTGACAATATATTTATTTATGTATGTATGTATGTACTGCATTGCATTTTTGTTGTGTTTTTTTTTTTGTTTTATATAAACGAGTATTCATACATAATTTTATGTTTATAATAGCATCAGTTATAATTTAACGGTGACATTTATTAATACTTACTACTATAATGACAATTAATAAGTTAATTTATTTAATTATAAACTATAAATTTTATTAAACTACTAATTCGTTTATGTTACAAAAATTGTGTTGAATTATATGTATGTGTGTGTACACATCTAACGGCCGATATTTAATATGTTAAATGTTAAGTGTATGTTTTGTATGTATGTATAATATGTATCTACGGTAATTAATTACATTTAAAAGCCTCTTAAGATATGTTTTTATTATTAGTTTATGTTGCCATTTATTTTTACGATTATGATTATGCGATTGGTATGGGAGTGTATGTGTGGATGTATTTATATGTAAGCTGTTGCTACGTTTATGCTTCATTTCTACTCGGGTTAAGCCTAGAAGAATAAACGCCAAACGCTCCACTCGAGGTGAATTCAGAATGGAGTTATTATCAGTGCTGCCAAGCCCGACTTTATTAAAGTTTGGTAAAGTTTTAGTTAAATAAATAGTTATATTTGTGGCAAAACGTTAGCAACACAGAAGCTCTATATCAATATGATTAAATGCAAATCAGCTGATTTCAACTCAACTCGCATTTATGCCACAGAGTTGATGCTTCTACGTATGTAGAGAAAATTTTTATGATCTACCCGAGCAGATGCCTTAATTCGTGGTGAAAAAGTTGTTACGCTTGCGAGTGTAAACTACCCGAGTAGAATTGAAGCATAAACGTAGTATGTGTTATGTTATTTGTATGTATGTGTTTGCTTGGGTATATTTTATATCAATTTATGTACTAAACATTTATAATTCGTTTGAAGACTCTCTAAATTTGCTAACTTATGTAATTACAGCATCGTTAAATATGTTTATATGTAGTTATTATTATTAATAATTAATTTCTAAAATTTACTACCATTCATTATAAATAAATTAAAATAATAAATATTATTAGTGTCTATGATATTCGAACATATACATACATACATTATCTTTGGAAGCATCTAAGGACTAATGAGCAAAAAAAAAAAGGGTTTCTGGCACAGGGAAGTGGAGGAAAAGTTTGTTAGTCAGTTTTTTTCGATAGTTCAAAATAGCAAATTTTAAATAATTTTTTTTTTTAAGCCAATATCTGCTGCAATCAGCGCGGGTATTTTTCTTAATTTTTGTTTTTTTGTTTTGATTTTTTGGAAGACAAACTAATGTTTAACAATTTAGCTGCAACTGCAGTTATACAATATATACATATGCATATGGTTTGGAAATTTTTGTTTATATATATTTAATTTGTTTTTCTAAACGCTTTTTTATTATTATTATTTTTATTATTATTTAGTATTAATTAGCGAATTGCGTAAATTTTTTTATTTTCTACTTCGTTTTAAGTACACATACTCGTACATATAATACTTCCGCTATACATATTTAATGACATTCACCGCCAGCCTTCACATCGATGAGAAAACCGGTGTTGCACGAATCACGCCGCATTTCGCACCACGAATTGTATGTGCGATTGTTAACGCCACAAATTTTGCCCTCCTCAAAACGCAGCGACTAAAGGAGACAATTAAATGGAAATTACGCAAATAAATGAGGGAAATAAACAACAAGTGGCAAATGAAATCGAGTTGAATTTATACCCCACTCACCGTTGGACGACGTTTACGCGCGCATTTATAACTGCAGGATACGCAACGTGGCTCATGCGTAAGAAGATCCACCAGGCAGGTGTGTTTGTGGCCACAATTGATTTCGCTGCAAGTGGGACGATCAACTGGAAGGGAAAAATGAAAAAGATTAACCATGGTATATGTATGAATTCATATATTGGTGTAGTAAAAAGAAATCCATTATTTTTGCATAAAATTAAAGGCTTTAATTTTTTCTTTTCCTATCCAGCCTTTTTCAAACGGTTTCTAACGGTTTTTTGAGCAATCGAAACAGTGATTACAGTAGGACTTGACGATATCCATGATTTTATCGACATTCTCGACATTTGGCCTTTCACTCCGTGAGGCATCTTTTACATAAAAAATTACCGGAACGAAACCGAATTTGGCACGATTGACTGTAACAGCATCGATCTCTTATTTAGGAAGATGCCGCTGCTGAGCTGGTTGATGTTTTTGGTCGTACGACTAAAGGCTGATATCACCGCCATCCAAGCATCGCCACCATGTAAAGAAATGCAATTTTGGTGTCAAATTCCTGGTTGGAGAGACGGATACTGGCATTCACACCGGTGGATTAACGTCTCGCACCAATCCGTATCAAAGGAAGGTTTTTAACATATCACTGACCGAAGACCGATTGGCCAATGATACCATTTATAAGCCCTGTCTCCCCCACAATGTCCACATTGTGTTTAGCAACTTTAATAGCAGGGTGGACAAAGAAAGTACTTTTGGAACAGTTAACGGATAAATCAAGGCAACCCTGGACTTCTCCGAGGCCCAAAATATGCTTGCCTGTAGTACAAGATAACAACGACAAGCTACATACATCATTTATGAGCAGGGAATTTGATGGGGTAGTTTTGAGACACTCACCCTATAACCCGGAACTTACTATTAGCCGACCGAAGAGATGCAGAAATTCATTTGGGCAAGTTCGACGCTGACAAAAAAGACTATGAAACCAAATAAATAAAAAATATTATTATCGATCAAAAAGTATATCTGGCGGAGCACAAAGTAGAGGGCGGGGAAAATTGAAATTAACGGAGGGGATAAATATTAGAGTTGTTTAAGCCCGCAATAAAATACCTTGGCGTCAGGAACGATAACCGATTATGATTTTGTTAGGTAATGACTCAGGCTGAGGCTTCAAGCTACAGCTCATATACAATAAAATTGTGGCATTCGTATGACATCGGTTGAGGCAACTCAAGGCTATCGGTTCAAAATGAGATCGTGACGGACGGACGGAAATTTTTCAAAATACTCGGCCACGAAAACTCGGCCTAAAGATATTTATTTTTATGCTGATGTCCTTAGAGAATCTCAGAAGGATATGTCGAATTTCAGGACATATAAAAGAGCAGAGGTTGATATCTTTATCCTGACGGGTTTCAACATATAGAATATCAACTAGATATTTCCAACTCTCAGTAGTTGAGTAGAAAAATAGTGCGGTTGTGCTGTTCCAGGAATATGAATCGAAAGGATAAGCTCTTCTGATCATGACCTCAAGTTCTTTCACAAAGCAAGGAGCGTAAGCTGGAGCTCTCTGCCTGCAGAACCAAATGATAGACTTGGCACTCTAGGATAGTTTATGCACCATTCATGATGTAAGGCTATTAAATCCAACCCAGTTCACTAAAGAAAATGGCAAATGCAGCTTACCGTGTAATGTCATCAGCAAGTTGGTTTAAATGAATAGAATCTAGAAAAAGATTTTTTTCTTATAAAAGAGGACTGTGTATTTAGTTGTTTTGCCTTCTGTATTCCCCTCTATGTAATTATTAGAGTTCTG